GTAATGATGCCAACACCGAGCGTGACATTATAACACTCGGAAAGGGAAAACGGGGAGGGATGGGAGGAATGGAAAGCCGGGAACAGGAGGCAACAATAACGAGGGAATTACGAGCATCAAAATGCGCAATGAAAATAAATTAAAGTTTCAAAAACAACAGCCGCAGGGCGGGAATCCCGGGATGTCGTCCTCTGCAATTGTGCAGACAATTTAAAGAACTTTGTGTAGGTGGACAGAACGGAACAGAAACTTTGTGTGTGTTTGTGCCTGGGGGAAATAAGAAATTTGCATAAATTGACAGCAGAAATTTTTATACGCCACCACATAATGACCACTCGGAGCAGCTGTAAACAGCTCGTAAAAGTAATTACAGCCGCCGACGGACAAAGCGGGGGTTTCCACGACTGCGTTCCACTGGCCACTAATTATAGGCAACTTAAACGCAACTAATTTTCACACTTGGAAAATGATTAAAACTCCATTTATCTGTGTGCGTGTGTGTCCGTCCGAAAAGTGGCCAAAATGGTGCGTGTGTGTGAGTGTGAGTGAGTGTTGGCCAGCGAGGAGCAACAGCGTGAGATCCGGAGATCCAGCGGGAGAGCCACCAGCTCGACACCTTGGCTAATTAATATTAATTGAATTTCTTGGCCAGCCACTCGGGCGGGTGCGTGGAAATCCACGCAGCTGTTGTCGGGTGCCATTCGATTGGCATTAGCAGCGGCTGCCAAAAAATAACAACCCAATGAAGTGGAGAATACCCTGGTATTTGGAGCAGCACTTTAAGAAAAAAGTTTGTGGTAAAAAAATTTTACAACAATTAATATTTCAACTTAAAAAATGTTTGCTTTCAAATAAAATTTTTTTACTTTTTTTTGTATAAAAAAGATTTCTTGAATTTCATAGTTTTATAATTGGCTCCCTATCTTATATTATCATTTAAGACAGGATGTTGTTCTCCAAACTAAATTTAGAAACCAAAACGAAGTGATTTCGTTTAGAACTACAAGCCCAAGCAAAAAAAAAGCACATATTTATGGAAGAAAATGTTTACTAACCTTACAATCATTTAGATTTGGAAATTAGATTATACTAGATTTTAGAGTGCTATTTTTTTGAGTGTGTGACCAGGAGAAGTGCATTCAGTTCACACCAACTCAGAACACAGCTAATGCCGGGTCTAAACGATCACGAAAGCCGGGCGGAAGTCGAGCAGATGAAGCGTGCTCCGCACGAACATATCGGGGCAATTATAGTTCAATTATATTGGTCGAGAGAGCGCCGTAGATATATAATATATAGTGGATTCGACATTGGCCATTTACCCGGGCACGCAACGGTCAAGAGCGGGTCAGTTGGCGATGGAGTTTGGGCTTGAGTTCGAGTTTGAATTCGGGGCCCAACTGACAGCTGGCAAATTGCGAGTGGACCCACGTCAGTTGTCAGGACGCAGGACAACCAGGATTTCCCATTCCCAGGCTGGACTTTTGTCAGAGGTCAAGCGGTGAACCCGTTACCAAGCACACACATTGCATGCCAATTCAAAAGACAGTCTCGGTTGGTTTTTATAATCTTTTATTTCATAATTTATTACAATTGAAAATTATGTTCAATATTTCCTCATATTCTGTTTCGCCATTGTTGTGCCTCCGCCAGTTGTCTTTCGATTGCTGGCCACAACAAGTTCAGGAATTCGTTAATTGGTTTTTAGTTCTTTACATAGAAGCTTCATTTAGTTAATTAATTTAATGATACTGTTTCCTTTCAATATATTTATATTTAATTCATTCTGGCCTTTAAGTCTAGCAATTTAGTTAAAGTTAATTTTTACACGCACAAACATTTATTTATTTCAATTCTCCATATAAATATATTTATAGTTTTTACTTCTTAGAGTTTTCTTTTGTTTTATTGATTTAATTTCTGGATTTCGCAACTGCTGAGTTAGCTCTCCCTTTCTAACTCAAGTGCTCGCTCTCGCTCGCTCGCTCGCTCGCCCCCTCGCTCTTCCGCCAGTGTGTCTTTGTCTATTTCTAGCTCTTTCATTCTTTTGGATTTACTTGATGCTGTCGCGTGGGTAAGTTGTATAAATTGTTCTTCTGTCTTTTTTTGTTTTTTAGTGCACTATAGTCTATGCTCAGGGTTGCATTTCTCCTCCAAATCGTCTCTTACCATTTACCGCTAGAACCTACCTTTAGATTAGGTTTAGACTTAGCTTTATAATTAGTATAATGTTCTTAAGTGTGAGTGATCTATGAAATTGCTGCGCTATATTTACAGTGTTCTCTAAGGGAAGTTATCAAAAATGTACAATATTTATTACATACATTACACTCGAATATGTAAATTTATAATCGTATTATCAATCGTAGTAATCATAATAGTAATAATAATGTTGCTGGAGCACTTAATAATCATATTCATAATATTTACGGCGTATACATTAAAGTTTCGAGAAAAATCACATTTTAATTTAAATTCTGACACGAAAATAATTTCAAACGTAAAAGCCTTTTAGATCGTTTTGTCCATATACAATGCGTTTAAAAAATCGTATAACTCATTATCTGGATTTTTGTGGATACTTATCCACACCGATCCGATACGCACACATATTGCCATATCCCTTCAAATCAATCCTACTGATTTAATTTACAAGCATTTGTCGGCCCGACGCAGCGAGCATATATCTCAGATACTCTGGGCAGATATTGGATATCCCGAGGATCGAATGCTGAAGGTGCATATAAAAGAAGCTTATACAAAATACTTGGAAACTCCCGGAAATTCTCTGACCCATCAACTGTGCTATATCACTCGCCGCCGACCGATTCGACTGCATTTGGTTCCCTTTTCTTAAGCCATAATGTTTATGATATATAGATATATACTATTTAAGATTTTTAAAATTTAGTTTGGTATAGCTAGGTATAGTTTATATTCTGTATATAGACTCGTATACATCATTCATTCAATGCTTCCACTTTGGTTTCTCATTTAAGGCGTTCTGTACAATTTGCGTTTAAACGTTTCGCAAGTCAATTGTTGTGTCGATTATTTAACTACTTTATATATAGTCTAATAAATTACTAGCGATGCGTACTCGTACTCGTATATCGTATAGTTCTGTTGTATAATTGTGAAAATGTTCGATTTGCCTTCAAATTCAATTTCAATTTAACTTCGTGATTACAGCTTTTGCAGTTTAGCAAATTTTGTAAATAAATTTATCGCTTCGCTTGTTGGGTGCAAAAAATTCGCATAAGGTTTACATTCTTGGGGATTCTTAGAGAAGTTCGTATACATTTGAGTGATTGTTTCGAGTGTAGTCGGTAAGTAGTAAGATAAGTTTGCCTAAGTGTGTCTGCCAAAGAAATGGTGGTTTCCCATGCAAAAGAAGCTCAAGTTTCATTCAAAGAGCAGGCTAAGCAATCGATCCTAATTCGCGTTTGTATTTTCAAAAAAGGTACTCGCTTTCCACACTTTCAACCTGTATATAGTCAATAAGTTCAAAACTAAAAAGTTAAATTTCGATTTGTTGCCCTCTGCATTTACGTATATTCGTTACCATTTAAGATTAATCAGATTCACAAGCAATGTAAATTCAATTCAGTTCCTTAGCATGTCACTCGTCTGCCAAAAGACCCAACAAGAGTACAAAATAAAGATACCGTGAAAGAGGCGATAAGGCTCTTGGAGCTTATATTCCTTGAAAAATCATAATCCTTGCCCCGCTGTAAGAAAATCATAAGCCGAACCAAAATCAAATGAAAACACAAACAAAGGTTATTTTTTCAAATATTTTCTCATATATGCATTTTTGTTTTCATCAATAAATCATCTTTCGTACAATTCTATCCTCTTGCTCAGTGTTTTGAATTAGTTAAATTTAAATCATTAATTAAGTAAATGTAATAATAATAATAATAGTTAACTAAGGATTAACGCATACAAATTAGAATACATAAATAAAAGTACAGTTTAAACGTAAGCATAATTTATTATTAATATTACGTATACATATTCAGAGTTATGTATATGCCTATGCCATTATAATTATTTGTATCGTATTGTTTGTATCTCGCATAAAATCCATACATATACATATACATATATTCAAATCGGTCCGTGTGCTTCAGTTGGAAAATAATACTACAAAATCCACACACAATAAAAACTCTAAAACAAATTCCATTCAAATCATAATGCTTCCTCCTCATCGATCTTTCTTTTTTGTAAAAATTAAATTCCATTTCGTTTTTACTTAAGTGTTGCAAGGCGTAAAATTAGAAAACAATTCAATTTATTTAAATTAATCGTCTAAACGTAGGATATAGTAGGGTTCTATCGCCTAAACGTAGATGTACGTGTGTATCTATAGTTCGATATCGATTTGTTTTGTATGTACATATACATATGCGTAAAGGTATAGAAAACAAAGCGTTACTACAACTGACTTGTTACATAACTAAAATGAAACTAAGAACTAGCAAAGAATTCTCCTTCAATTCCGCAATTAAATTCAAACTTTATTGAAGTTCGTGCTGCTATGGGTTTTTCTTGATTTTCTGGTGGGGCGGGACATTCTCTAAATTCAAACTAAAATCTATAACAATTCCGAACGAAATGTCGCTTTAATTTTGTGTGGGTTTTGTATCCTTGCTGGACTGCGCCTAAATTCATGCTTTAAAAATTGTGTGTGTGTCACATACTGCAGCTTTGAACATAAAAATTTGCATTTCAAATTGTTGTTGTTATGTGTGTCTGTGTGTGTATTTCGGGTGTATGTGGGTGTGTGTGTAAGTTTTGGTTTTATTTTGTTTATTTAACTTATAGCTAAGCGTTTCATTTTTGTTTATGCATAAATATCTTTTTTCTTGTTTTTATTTTTCCCTTTTTTCTGCTTTTGTTATTTATGTTTAAGGTATACACAAATAGTTTCTTTAAAATTTCTGGTTTCTTTTTGATGTGATTTGTTTTTGCTGGTGCCTTTGTTGTTGCTGCTATTGTTGCTATGGTTGTTTTGGGTTCTGCCGTTGTTGTTGTTGTTGTTGCTTAGCTAATATCATTTTATAGATTTTACGGTTGTTCTTTGCTTGTGTTTTTTGTTTGCTATTACTTGACTGATATTGCCACGCGGTATGCTAGTTTTGGGATTGGATCGGACTGCCCCTGCTCCTGCTCCTACTGCTGCTCCTGCTCCTGCTGCTGCTCCTGCTCCTCGTGATTCAGCTCCTTCTCCTCCAGTTGGTTGGTGGTGGTGGTGGTAAAAATTTAAGCTATGATTTTGGCTTGATCGCTTCCGGAGAGCTTTCTGGTTCCGTTTCCGGTTGTGGGCCGGATTACGAGGATTACAAGTGCTGGCCGTAGTACTCGGCGGGCGGGTAGTGCGGATAGCCCTGGTGGAAGCCCGGATCTCCGGGCGGACGGTGCATCATATGCGCCTGGCTGTCCATCATGTAGCCCATGGCGTCGTGGCCATATCCGGAGGGACCTGGATGCGGTGTATAGACTGTTGGTGAGTCGCCCAAAAAAAAGGGAAAGAGAGAAAAAATGCACATAATTAGAAATTGCGTTGGAGTGGATTGCGAAAGTAAGCGAGGCGATCCTCTCGGTTCACCAGACTTAATTCTTAACTAGATCACCGCCATTTCATATTTATGGATATTTTTTTTTTTGTTTTTTCTTATTTCTAAACGAGAGCGATAGTTACCTGCTCGGTTCGATTGATCGATCATTGGCTGGACGATTCTCCGCCGCGCATTGATGAACCTGTAAGCACACAAGAGATATCGTTTTAGTGGCATTCCCTAATTAAACACACAACCGAAAAGGGGCCATGAATTATGCATGAATTGGCCCGGATTTGCCGGGACCGCGCTGCTTTATGTGCCCAACTTAGCCATAAACCAAACCAAATCTCTGCCGGAGTCACACTTTTTGCGGCCCTGCCACGGCCAGATCAATGGGCCGCGCCGACTTTGGTTATGATTGTCGTTTAATAAATGCAATAAGAAATAATAAGCAGTGGCTGCAGTTGATCCGCAGGATCAGTGGCGACGCAATAAGCACAAAAAGAGCAAAATGATTAAAGCAGAAAGCCGCCGGTGGAGTGACAGTCACTTGGCCAAGACGATGTTACCCGCAAGCTTTGACACGGCCTCAGAAAAAATCAGCCAAACAACGAAACCACACAGCAAAAAACCCAAACATGGAAAAGGAAAAACACCAGAGGAATCAGTTACAGATGCACTCAGAAAAAATATAGACTAAGATGGCAGGACTTGTCCAATCTGCTGAAATTTAGCTGACCAGTAATGATTTAGGATTTTAGTTTTGGGATCATTTTCAAATAAATTTTATCTTTCTTGGCCTTATTGAAAGCAAGGTGGTAAAAACTTCAAGTATTTTTTTTAAGTGAAGAGAAACAGATACAAGGACGGTAATGGATACAGCTACTCGCATTAGCCAAAAACCAAGTTAGCTGGGGTTAATGCACTTGGGAACTCCTCCTCAAACGGATTGAAAAAGGGAACATTTCACCGCTCGCCCCTTTGACTTTTCAATTTGCAGTTCGTTTGCAATCTGCCCCTGATTTCTGCTCATTTTGGGGCGGAAATTGTTGCAACGCCCTGAAATCGTTTATCAAAACGACAAAATGGAATTGAGTTCCGTTCTGCCATATAGATATTTTCGCGTTTTTCGCTCTTCACGATGCAGCCGAAGATTTGAGCTGCAAATCGATTTGCCCGCTGGCCTCGCACTTGATTGGAATGATTGCAGATGAGGGAAAAATGTAGGTTCAAATCTGGAGGATAACTCGCAGAAGTGAGCAAACATTTGCCAAGTTATTTATGTACTTAGGCCATAATTATAACTTTTCTTTTTGCAGCTGTAACTAAGCGGTAATATTTAAAACTTACTCGGCAGCAGGGAAAAAAGTGAAACTTTTTCGATTACGAAAGTTACTTCTGCCGTCTGGCCATCTTATTGGGTGTTAATGGACTTCTCGAGCTTCTCCTGGTCATTTGAATGGCTTCTTATGCTGTCTTTTTTCTGCCTCAAATTGCGCAAAATAAATACACATTTAGAGAAATAGTCCCGGCGGCTATTCCCCCAGGATTAGTGTCCTGCTCGGACCGACTTGCTCAGCAAAAGGTGTCGCCCGCCTCTGCCCATAAATAACCGAAAGTGTCAACATTTTATTTTGCTATTTTCTGCCAAGGTTTTCCCTCTCTCATTTTTTCGTTTTTCCTTATTTTTCCCCATTTTCAGACCTCTGTCTACGCAGCGTTGCGTGCCTAAGCGAATCGGAAGGGCAGAGTCCTTCGGCTACTATTTGTTAATTTGCAGTGTGCTTCGGTGAGCGCGAAATTCAATTTAATTGAGCTGAGTGCCTGCCAGGCGGCCGAGCTCTCACACATTTCTCGCCGGATTTTATTGTGGCCTGTCCCAGCTTAAAAGCATTCCAGGCCACCTCGTCCCGAGCTGCATAAAAGATTCAGCAGCGCTTTTAACTTGCTCCCAAGCTTTTCCATCTTGCCTAGTTTCGCATCTTCTAGTTTGCCGTTTCCCATTTGCCATTTGCCGTTTTAAGTTTTCAGTTTGCAGTTTGCGGCTTAGCAGCCAGTCTTGCCGAGTGTCAAGTTCTGCAGCCTGTCGCATAATGTGCAAAATTTGATGAAGTTGCCGTCTCCGTTTCGTTTCGTTGCGTTGCGTTCCGTTTCCCTGGCCCTGTCTCAAGCCTAATGCACTTCGGGATCTCTAGGATTTCCAGTTTGCAGTCCCAGGTAACAAGGCCCATAATTTTGTTTGCCACATTCTTTTCACCTCTTGCCTGTCGGCCCGTGGCAGGTTCTATTTCCTTGGCGTGGGCTGCCTTATAAATTTGTTTTCGGCCAGATAGTTGTATTTTCTCGTGTGTGCTCTGGTTTTGGTTTCGGGTTAAGTCTTACGACCAGGTTGGGATATAAAACGTGTGAGTAATGGACAACCCAGGGCATCGTTTACCACATTATGATGTTGTTTTTTGAAAGGATATCTGAGAAGATCCGATCGGATCTCGTGCGGATAACGGATACTCACCAATTATTCACTTGCAATATCGTTAGGCCGGTGTCCTGGGCCAATTGTTTCTTCTGGTCCTCGGATGGGTAGGGATGCTGCAATAAAACAAGAAGAAAATGAGAATTTGAATTATATGTAGAAATAAAACTAACTAATTATTTATACTGAACAGCCTTTGATTAAAATAACAAATAGGCAACTGTATTTCATTCAAATGTATTTATATGAAAAATGATTTTTTTATTATTTATTAAAAACATCATTAGTATTTTAAGCTACACATACATTTTTTATCATGGTTAATATATTTGTTAACATATCTTTAAAGTATCATTAATGACTTTATCTGTGCCAGATAACTCCAGATCATTTGCTTAACAAATTAAAGTCGTTTTAATTTAATTGAATAAAAAGTATACCCCCTGCTCTGTCACCAAACCTGAATTTTGGAGTTGGGAAAACTGTTGCAGTGCCCAAATTTACAATCTATCTGACGAGCCGGTCAAACAATCGATCAATCATGGCCGCAATAAAACCGAATGGGAACCTGTCAGCCCGCATCGATGGTTGCACTTGAATCGCAGCATTTTCGGGTGTTTTTGTTTTATCGGGCGGCGGTGGCAGAGCCTCCTTCTTATCAGCAGTGCCACTCAAAGTGTCCTCAATTGCCGCTGCCTTCAGGGGGTAAAGGGAGGGGGTCAAAAGAGGCGTTTGCTGCAATGGGAGCGCGTGTCTAGCGCCAAATGGGCAAACAAATGCCACCGAGTAGTCCACTTCCCATAAATCTTGCAGTCGAACCGCCGACACAGTGGCGTCAGTGGGTAAATAGTTCGACTAAAGTAAAAGTGCCACTCCCCCTGGACAGCCGCAACTCCGCCCCCTAACACCACGGCTGCCCAGCAGCTAATCTAATCGTTCGACTGGCCTGGCGCTTATTACAATTCGTTTTATTTGCCTAGTTGTTGTGCACTTTTTGTTGATTCAATGATTTCGATCGCAGCACAAATTCACTTTATTAATGCTGCTATGGTCTGTGACACAGGGAAAAATTTCAAACTTTTTGTATACTGTATATCTTTAAAACCTTTTTCACAATTAGTTTAATTGAGAAATAGTAGTAGAGTTTTTAAAACAATATTTTTCCATTAAAATGAAGGTTAAGATAATTTTCTCAGTGCAGAAAAGGACGCAAAGGGGTTTAACCAGTCACCTGGCGGCTGTCAAAAAATTGTTTCTAAGGATCTCGGTTCAACGGAAGTTCCCGTCAAACGATTTTGGCTTTGTTTCGCCCTCGAAAAATCGGGATACTCTTGTGCGCGTGCTCGAAGGACGAAGGACGAGGAGCCTTTGTGTTTTAACCCTCGACTGGCCGCAACCGTTTCCGGCAGCTGTGGGCGGTTTCTCCAGCTTTTTGGCACTCGTCACCAGTCGATAATTGTGATGCAGAGGAGCCCGATTCCGTCTGCGAATGCAATTTGCTCGTGGTGGGGCTGGCTAAGAAATTGCATGGGAATTTACGACGACCCCAAAAATATATGTACTGTCACCCGTACACGGGCACTCACATCCGGGCCATACCATATATACCATATAAGGCGGGGCCATTCCAATCGAAATGTGCAACGCTGCACATCCTTGTCTTCGTCTGCATCTGTGTGTTGGCTGGCATGTCCTTCTGGCCGTCCGTAATGCAATTTAGTTGCCGTTGTTGTCCTGCCGCAGAGAAGAAGGCTTGGTCGGTGCCTCGTGGCCTGTGCCCCTTAAATGCATTTGCCTTATTGTTTGTGTTTAATAAATTGTACGTGCTGTCCGGCAGCAATAGTTGTTTGCTGTCCTGTCCAGGCCAGGACTTTCAGCCTGACACGCCCGCACTTCGGACAACAACGACAAACAGCAGATACCGAATACTATATGAAATTTGCGTATTGACAAATAAACGTAGAAACCATGTAAATACAATGGACATGCCAATGGCAATGTTTTCCCCATTCCGTTGCTGCACCTCGTTTTCTCGTCCACATAAAATGTTCAAGAAGTCAGAAGGCATAAATTACATGCAGGTAAATTAAAACGGAATTTATAGCATACTTTGTGGCGCACATCTATTTGCCGAGATGGCTTTCTCCAAGGAGGTGGTGGTCTGAATCTGTATTTGGATGCAGGTGAAGTTTGGTTATTGATTTGATGTTGTGGCCAACACAAGCTGAGACATCTGGCCGTAGCAGGGACAACTTTGTGGTTGTCAAAGGGCAAGAGGAATGTGCTGTTGTTGTGAACCAGGAATAATTAAGAGTCCAACAATAAGCAGGGTACAGGATAAATTTCGGATTTTATTGATGAGAAAAAGAAGTGTATTTCTAGTAATTTCAGTGATAAGCTTGTCAAATCTAAATCTACGTTGTTATAAGTAAGTAATTCCACCTATTGATCAATCAAATCAAAGTGCTCGTTTTAGAAACAATTTAAAGATTATACTATAAGCAACAGAAGTGAGTAGTTTTAAGCTACATTTCCAAAGTATAATCTTATTGTACAAGAAGATCGTAGAAGGCCCAAGGGATTGCCTGGCTAATAATAAACGTGAGTAATCTAGAATTTTACATCAAAAATGGCATTCACAGAGACAAAGATTTCTTTAACAACTATAAATACGACAGACTTCGCCCGTCTGAATATAATCCTTTATACAAGTATATGTGGCAGGTCAAGTTCGTTGACTTGCCCGACTGTAGGGGGATCAGAAAGTGCATATATTTCATTTGCAAAAGCTTTTCTTTCAACGCCTACTCTTCGTTGTGTACTCCCAAGAGCTTAGCAGACCGTCCCGCTTTCCCCTCGACCTGCTGTCTCTGTCTGCTTAAGCGTTTTTCTTTCAGCTGCACTTTGTTGCACCAATTAGACTAATAAAAGCAATTATGCATTTGCGCTCACACACGCCGAGTTATATGCACACATATACAGATAGTGCATAACATGTCAAGTAGAAACAAAGTCCATTTGGTTTATTAATTTACCATACGACAAAATAATTAATTACTGTCACGCCTTTAAGTTGTCGCCCCAGCCCACAGTCGTTGGCCGTCTCTTTCTATCCCTGGGCTGGCCGTCTCTTTCTTTCTGATTTCTGATGTCTGCCTTCTGTCCCTGTGGCAACCGTACTCGCTCCACTTTTTTTGCCAGCATATTTTCACTTTGTTGTGTGTTTATTTAAACTTGGCAAATGAATTTAAAACAATCATCGCACACATATGAAGGGGGTTTCGACGACCCCCTCCACCCCCCCTGCTGACAAGTGGTGGCAGGCCCAAGGCCCCGAAGAGAGACCCCCTTTCATTGGACCTGGGCCCAATGATGTCAACATGACTGCAACGCCGTGACACATGGCACAACAAGCCCAAGAAGTCTGCCCCCTTTTGGGGTCCCCTCTTTACGCCCCTTTCGCCCCACCACCCATGTCCTCCGCTCACGAAGACCACGATGCCAGCGATGCCGACGCCATTAACAACGCCAAATGCGACGCCATTTGTGAAACAAGCCGACGGCAACAGCAACAGCAACAACTGCTGCAGCAACAACTACGGCTACACCAGCAACAGCAACATCCACAACAGCAACACCAACTTCCACTGCAACAACAACGTTGGCAGCAAATTTCAGCGGTGAAAATTGCAATGCCACAGCGAAGAAAAGGCGACTGTTGGCCATTATGAAGATTTTTTCCAGTCTAAACAAAGCCAAATGAGTGTTTTTGCCCCCGTCTTCGCCCCTCGAAACCCCCAATGATAAGGTGAGCTAGAAGACCCAGCACTAATCGCAATGTTGTGGGGGCTGGAAAAAATCATAATAACTTGCAGCGACGCGATAGGGTTATACTGCAATAAAGATGCCCTACGCCTGAAATTGAAATTGAATATTTAAAAAAGGAATTCGATTTAAGGATTTGAAACATTCCCACTTAACTATAAATGCTCAAGGCTTAACAAAAACCTTCTGAAATAAGCAAACTATAACAATAAATTTTCAAATTTTAATATGAACAAATTTGAACAAAATCTATTTTAGGATTTACAGTTTTTTAATTTTGCTTTTTGTTTTTCATTCATGAAGCGCATTGCAGTTTTGTCTTTAGCCGGCACCTTGAATCATGCCACACACTAAGCGCCGTTGCAACATGACTCTGTTGACAACAATGCAACTCTTTCACCGCGGCTGCACCTAATTCCCCCGGCCTCTCCCACTACCCCCTTTCAGCGACCCAGCACCTCCCTCTATGGCTTCCTTTGGCCATTTTGCCATGGTTTAACATTTCGCGCTGTGCGCATTTTTTTCGGGGGTTGCAAGTTGCAGCGGCAATACCAACGGCAACGGCAAAACGTAGGCCCAAAAGCAGAACAGCAACAACAGACAGCCGGAAGAAAATTGCCGGCGAGGGAGGGTTTTTTGGGGGGAAGTCGAGAATGGGAACGGACCCGGGGCATATGGGCACATGGGCACATGGACACATGGACGCACACATGTGGCCGACTGCTCGAGTAGGCGGAGCACGCGAAATGAGTCTTTTTTTGCTGGTGTTGCTGCCGTGCCATAGCCGTTGCTGTTGCCGTTGTCGTTGCCTTGGTTGCTGTTGTTGCCGCCTGTCTGCAATGCGCGCCAAATGTAAACAAAATATTCGCGCGCCTGCCATAATTATGGCAACCAAGCGGCAGCAACAACAGCAAGCACATTTTTGCAACAACGGCAGTCAGCCATAAGCAACAACAAGGCGGCCATGCAATGCCCTCAATGTTGCTGTTGCTGTTGTTGCTGTTTTTGCTGTTGTTGTTGTTGCTGCTGCCGTCTGCCTTTTGTTTTTTGGTTGGCCAGTCAGTTAACCCGGCCCCAAACACCCCGCCCCCATTTTCAGAATGCAATGCACTTCATTAGCACCATCATTGCGGTCTTATTTGGGGTCTGGCTTTAAGTCTTATTCGGATTTCGATTTACAAACGACGTTCCTATAAATAAATTTATCAGGCAAGTTTGACAAAACAACTTCTTTTGTAAAAGGATAAATAAAAAAGCTCAGCAATGGATTTAATTGTATACACATGTTTCCAATTTGATATGTGTAAGACAACCCTTTATAGTATAGAGCATCTGCATTTAGAAAAATAAAACAGAAACTTTGCTTAAGTACATTCTAGGCATACTGCCCTAAGTAAATTAATGCGCCTTTTGCATTTATGTAAATTAAGTATTTATTTCTATTTAAAGCAATTTAAATCATTTAAAACTATGTCCTCTACGAAAATACATCAGTCATAGGATCGCCTTAAATAAATTAAAAGGCTACACCGATAAATCAAACTGGCAATCATTGCTTTATGCCAAATCGAAGGCCATTGAATACGAAATTAAAGTTTCGAACGCATGTCGGCGTAAAAGAAAAACAATTTCCCTAATGCGTTGAAAAACTGTTAATGGCATTAAGCCGGGACGACGGAGTCAGTCAAGGATGAGAATCAGGATGAGGATGAAGATGAGGATGTGCAGGCTGTGAAAGTCGAGACGCTGCCGCTGGGCAAACATGAGTGATGCGCTGATTTAAACGGCAATTCATCAATGTCACCGTGGGGTGGGGAAATGGGGGTGGTTGGGCTAATGCTTCTTCCGTTTACTTTACTTTTCGCCCGGGGGGTGGCTGGCGTTTTAAAACGATTTTTGGGCCAGAAACGCAGCCTCAACTTTAATTTCCGATTCGCTGGCTTATCGCGCTGGTCAGCTTTTGGTCGTTAACTCTGGCCACACACATTCGCTTACCGGATTCCATTAAGATTTCTATCATTTTACATACGCAGCTGCGTCGGCAGCAGACTCACAAAAAATCCCCAAAACTAATGGGCAAAAAACGTAGTTACAACTTCCTTGACCCGTCCAGCATAAAATCTTATAGCTTTGCTTGCCTCTTTCTTGGCTCGTTCACATTCAACCCTTGGCCACCTCCTTCGCTAGTTTTTTATTTTTTATTTTTTTTGTAGCTTAACATAAAGTGGCGCATAACAAATCTGTTTATTTGTATTACACATCCGCTGGATTGGACTGGACTTCCGTTTGGCATCTCCGAAATCCGAAAAAGGAACTTTGAACTGCAGTTTCTGGCTTTGAATAGTTATTGCCATTGGCAATTTGTTTTTAGTGCCGCATTTCGAGGCCGTTTAGCCGAGCTCTTTGATGGCCCCAAAATGGAAATCTAATTGGACGCGATGACCGGGCAAAGAAGCTGCCGTGGTCCGAAAGGGTATTGCCAAATGGATAAATGGCCAAAGGGCTAAATGGATGCTTAGGCCGAGTGAGTGGACTGCGATTGGGTCTGGCAGTTGGATTTGGGCGGCGGAAGGCTCTTCACTCTGATCAAGTACAGCACACAATCTTGTTTGCATTTCCCACCCTAATGGCCATATAATCAAGGTTCCAATGGCGCCTCCCCTGGCTGCTATCGTTTACATCATCGTGCAGGCTTTTCCTTGCCTCCCCCCTTTTGTTTCCTTTTCCCCCAGGTTTTCAACCAGCCTTTCCCCACCCACTGCGCCGCCAATTGACGCAGGCCATTCATTGGAGCCCATGCGGTAATCTTATCAACCTGCCACACGTTGGAAAAAAAAACAACGAAAATAAAACAATAGCTGCACTTAGAAAATAGATTTGAGAGTACGTTTTTCTTTCAATCCCCTGTAAATTCTTTTTAGCTTCAAACTTTAAATTTAACAGATTCTATTTCTATCTAAGTACATTTTTCTCCGTTATATTTTCTGTATATATTATTATTCAAACTTTTTTGAACTTTTTGACCTTTAGTTAGTTGGATAGGTCTTGAAGGTATATATTGATAGTTTTTCAGATATTCTGTGTATCTTTATTTTCTTTTATATTGTTGTCCGTTGGCTTGTTCGTTTAATATACGTTTTTTAAAAAAATTATTATGTAATAAGAACTATTTTTGCGCAGTGTGCCTAGAGCACACGCTTATCAGGCCGGGGCTGGTTTAGCTCCCAGTTTGAAGGGGGTGGGGCCTGCCCCCGGCCAGTCAGAGATTCCCACCGAGATCGCGATAACATCTCTGACGTGCCGGTAAGCCATTGGCCAGAAATCGGAGGTGGAAATAAAGGTACTGTCGGTACTCACCGTTAAATGCTGAAACAGCCACGCTCTCAATATGTTGGTTGCTACTTTTGGGAAAATGCCACGTTTCTTTTGGTTCTTTTTGCCGCTCGCATCGTCGTCCTCCTCGCCGGTGCCCTCGCCACTTCCTATGCTGGCATTGCTGGCATCACCTGGAAATGGGGGAGAAATGGAAGAAGAGTGAGTGGTGCTGGTGCTCGTGGGGAATCTTCTAAGGCCTATGTCAATATTGCCACAGTTCCACACACTACGCCTCTACGTTACTATGCTTTACATATCACTATAAGCTGCCCGAAAATGAGAAGACTACAAGAAGACTTCCAACTTCTGTGTTTGCTGTTCTGGTTTATGGCTGTTTGTCAAGTGGGCATAAAATTACTCGGCTCGGTCGTAACGATAATCATATGGATGACATTGTTTGTGGCACTGGCTGCAGGTCAGTAGACTGGGGCTCAAAGACTTGTTTATAAACAAAATTAATATTTGTCAGGGCTGCTGCGTTGGCTTTAGCTTTGGTAATGTTCGTGCATAATTTTTGGTTAATTTAAACTCCCCTGGCTTTTATCTTTTGTTTGCCTCGTTGGCCGAAAAGCAAAATCTCTGGGCCAGGCGTTTCCTGTGTGCTTTCCTTTTCATCATCATCATCATCACTGGATCTCCCCAGACAGAGTGTATATTTTTGTTTAATATTAAGTATGTTATTTGTGTGTTTACTTAAAGTTTTAGTTACACTTAAGTAACTCAAATGCCAGCAAACAGGAAGCCCGAATCGCTGCGCACATGCAAACAAAATAAACCAGACCCAACTCTCCTCGAACCATGGATTGCATAATTTCACGCTCCTTCCTCGATGATTATGGCGACGATGATCATCAGATTTCGGGGCCCAAAACAAATATTGCCCAACGCCAAATGTCTAACTTGGTAGCCTTCGTTCTCCGCCCCCAAACCCCATTGTTTAATTCCTTCATAAATTTTCCATGCTTTATCTTTTGCACAACACCTTTGGCATTTGCTTTCGCTCCACCTTCACTTTGGCTGCTTTTCATTAATTTTTCAGTTAACTCATTCATTAATTTTCACACACAGTAGCACACACACACTGGGCCACACCTAAATATTATACATTCAATGGTGGCAGACTTCACGCCATTTTGCGTAAACCGGAAGTTCGTTTTGATTAATTTAGTCGCCGATGGAGACGTTCGCTTGGCGAGTGGTCAGAAAAGTACAAGAGTGCAGGAGTGAGGGGATTTTCCAAATAGGCCATAAAACAAAAGCCGATGGCAGCAGACTAAATAAAAAACACAAAAAACCAAAAATGAACCTGGGGAATTTCGAGTGAGAAAAGACAGACCACTCTATACTCTCGATTTAGATAAAGAAATGACGGTGGTTCTAGGGCTCCTATCGAATTAGGAATTCAAAAATAGCATAGAGAGCCGGAAGAATTTGTATAATTTGTTTTTAAGGCTAGATAAATTCGAATGAGAAAGAAGACCATTTAATACTCTCCATTAAGATATAAACTTCATTTCCTCCTTCACTATTTGTATAATTTCATTGCTTAATATTCAATATAAGCTCCAGAAGAAACTATTCCCTCAGATAAAGAAATGAAGAAAATTGAAGCCACTAACCAAATCAGCGGAGCCCTATGCCGGAAAAGTTGTAAAATTAATTTACCAGAAAGAAGAAAAAAGGCCGAAAAACGTAAACAAAAGAAGTTCCCAAAACAATCACTTGTTGGAACCTTTCTAGCGCCTCGCCCCCAACTTCGCCCCATTGTTTGCATAATTTAGCAATTATGGAAATGCGTTGGCCTACGGTGTGTACGAGTGTGCATGTGTGTTGGCCAACGGAATCTGGCCAAATGAAAGCCAAGGAGGAGGCGTCCATTACACAAGCTTATCGAGCACTGTGAGCTGCACTTTAGCCGCGAAGAGCGGAGAAGAAATGCTAAGAGAGTCGGGCCAACTAGCTGCTGGCACTTAACAACTTCATTAAAAGTTGTTTATGATCCTCGAAATTGATTATTCCACTCGTGGGGGGGCGGCAGGGGGATCCCCAGACCCCCGATCGCCGCCAATCCCCCCGTTTCTCCATTTTACCCCCGCGAAAGGGGCCAAGGCACTCAAATCGCGACGGGCGCGCGCTTAAGAAAACATGAAATTGATTAATGCATTTGCCTGCAACATGGTCAGGAGTCGCAGATGCAGATGGGTCTGCCGGGTTCGGGGTCTCCATGGATCCAGCGGCTGGTATCTGCTGGTGATATGTAAATTCCTTCAAGTGGTTTGCACTTTACGCCGACTCCAAGTTCGGTTTGCGGTGTGTGCTCCCATTTCTTCTTTTTATTTTTATTCTTTTTTATTTTTTCTTTTCTTTTTTGTTTTTTTTTCAAGACCCAAACACAATTAATCTTTGGCCAGAGCCGCATCTTCTGGCTCGCTTATTATTGTTATAATAACGATGTGCAAAAGCACTTGTGCCACTTGAAAGGGCACTCGTCTGGTCGGTGGAAAAACGGGATGAAGAGGGGGAACCTAGGGAAAGGGGGGAAAACCGATTAGGACGCGATGCGTTTTCGTAGCTTTTTCCAAAGTGCTTTTCGCTGTACGCGATAAAGGCGCTTGCATTTTTGCTTTTAATTGAATTGTTAAGCGCAGCGCAAAACTTAATTAATTTTCACTATAACTTTGTGGACTTTATGGTGCCCGCTCGATTCCCAATAAGTTTGCTTTGGGGGCGGGGAAAATAAATTTGATGCCGGGGCAATTTTCGTGGGTGGCTCACACAAACACACACACAACTCACACACAAACTCCAGGCAGCATTTTTATTTATTATTGGCTTAAAGGACGAAGGATGCAGGAGCCAAAGACGCAAACGCAGACAGTTTTATATGTATATACGATGTGTGTGTTGTTATTATTGCAAAAAGCTCCCAAAAAAAACTACAGTTGGTCTGCCTTGCTTGCCACATTTTCATGTTTGTTTTCGGCACGCTCTTTTTGCTCTCATTTTTTTTCCTGCCTTCTACAATTGCGCAAAATTCCAATTTGCAGTAAATTTTGCGATTTTTCCTTTATACGGACATACAAAACATTTTTAGTTTCCTGCTGGCTTTTCCCCGTCCTTCCGCCCTCCCCTCCCCCAGAATGCAATTATAGAGTAAAGCTGACAAAACCCCAAAGCCTCGAGATGCATGCTCAAAGTTGTCCGATTGATTAAGATTTTCGCAGAGCCAGCAGCTTCTAACTCTGCGAATAAACTTTACTTCTGAGACGTTGGTTAGTCCAGAAAGCCAAATTCAATATATCTAAATGATGCAGATGCTCCTTCAAAGTGCAAAAATGTTTTATTTAAGCCATGCTTAAATGGAACATTTTTGTATGTGTACACAATTTTAGTTGAATAAAGAACAAAATAATATATAAATACATTTCTTGTGCAGGCTGCATAAAATTCAATAACAAAATGCACTTTTCCACCCGTCAAGTTGCAGCAGCAAAAACAAACAAAATTGCTTTTCCAGCAGACAAGAAGCGAATGGAGAAAGACAAGGAGGGCTGTAGATATTTTCCCTCTCTGGCTGGCAAAATATTTCCAAACTACTTGACTGCGAGGGGAATCCGTAGCAGTTTTCAATTAGTTTTAAAATAAACTTTAGCCCTCACCAACTGAGAAACGCCAAATGCTACCGCTCGCGCGCAAGAAAACTTTCCATTTTCGAATGGCGGGGCCAGAGTTTTCAGAGTTTTTCCTCCTCCAGTTTGTTTATACAAATCCATGCCAATCGTCTGTCAATCATTTTCCAATGGGAACGAGCAACATGGCGGAAGTCTGCTTAAGCTCATCGGGCGTAGAGTATTATTCAGGGTGCCTAACTAATTGAGTTTGGCCCGAAATGATAATAAACAGCGGCGGCGGCGGCGGTCCAGGCCGGTTAATTGAATTCAAAACATGTCAAAAGAAATCAGACAGCAGCACGCCCTGGGTGGCCTAAACGCCCCCGGGCATTTGTCAGCTGCAGCTTGGCAAACGCAAAGGCAAACACTCGACAAAACCGTGGCTCAAGTGCTGGCCAAGAAGCTGCGCTTGAGCCAAACACTTCAGCGGCAGAGAGGCCAGAAGAAATCCACGGAGAAAAACAGAGAAGCACGGAAGCGCCTGACAAAAGCACTGAGACTGGAAAGGGCGTCATCATCAGCATGCTCATCAGTGCGCCGAGCTTGTCAAGTGGGTGGCTGTACAGTAAACACTCGAGCTTGGACCCCCGAGAAGTGGGACCTCCGAGGTGTTAGCCCGCTTATTAGCCAGCATCCGAGCTGGGCTTGAGTTGGCTGATTTATGGCCCGGCATTCATTGTTTATGAAACGCTTTATTGAACCTCCCCGGCGCTGTGATAAACATGAGCAATTCATTTCGGTTTAGACGGTGGCCAGTTAAGTGATATGCATACGATCGGCAAATTAATAAAGCTTAAGTACCACTAACAAATGACTTAATTAAGCATGGAATAATCAACGTAGTTTGGCTTTGCTTGCTTTGACAATGATCCATGAATTATGGCTGCACAGCTGCAATTTTGTTATATTTTGGCCATTTGGCTACATTTTTAAATGAACACTTGAGTGCAAACTTAGTGTAGACTTAGATTTAAAAGGAAAGTATTTTGTGACTCAACAACTCCAATGGCGGAAATAATTATTATGATAGCATTTAAGCACTGCTTAGCCAAGTGTTTTCCTTTTTACTCATTCGATTTTCCAGGACAATTTCATGTGCGAACCCAAAAGGAAAAATATGAATAAACTGCAAATTATCGGAGGCCGCAAAATGATGATGGATCACCCAATCGCGCAACGCCATAAAACGGCAACAAGTCAATAAGAACAACTACAAGAGCTCAGGCATATGGCAAACCAGACTCCAAAGTCAATAGCAATTTTTGTGGCCATTTTTTTGATTTTTCCTTTTCGTGTTTGTTGTTCCCAGGCAGGCACAAAAAACAGTTTGAAGTATTAACACAAAAGCCGCTTTAGCTTTTGGCTTTGCCATCCGCACACGAATATATCTGTATATATATATATATATATATATATATTGAGGGAGAGGAGGCTTTTTATGGAGGATTTGTGTGATCCGCTGCAATATTTTGAGCCGACGAGCAACAACCAACAACCATCATCATTGTCGGCTTGTTGCATTGTTTTTGGCCGGCAAAAAATGGGGAGAATAATAATAAAAATAATAATAATAATGTTGCAAGGAAAAAACTCTGGCGATGCTGCAACATGTTCATGCCTCATTATTTTCGTACGGATTTTGCGGTTCGCCTTGGACTCTTCGGATTTCGGTTCTCAGGCTGATGCTGGAGTTCATTCAATAGGCTCAGAAAAAAAAATGGAAACTGCTTGGCAAAAAGTTTATTAAAATTCCAGGCCAGGCCGGCAACAAAAAAATAAAATGAGAAACCGACCAAGCCAACACATGTTTTCACGCCTACGAAGAAAAAGCAGTTGAAGAAAGAGGGAAAAAAGCTGACGGAGCACCGCCTTATATGCAGATTAGCCATATGGAGTCGCTGTTTCTTTTGACTCTCCTCCCCATTTGCAAAATCAAATTATTCAAATTCAATTATTGTCAATTTTATTTATTATTAATGCGCATAATTGTCAAATTTGCCAAATTTATGAACCCCTCGGTTCGTTTCAGTCCGTTTTTTAAGCCGTATGCAAATGGCGGCAAGACGAGATTTCTGTGCGCTCAATCCGGTCGAATTTATGAGACACGTTGAAGTGCATCTCACCTTGCCGGTGTATCCAGGTCCCAGAATAAAACCGAGACAGGAACTGCGACTGAAACCGAACTCTGGAGTTGATCTGCCACCAAGGGAGTTGGCTGGGAAGATTAATGGCAGCGGGTTTAATTTGTTTTCGGCTGTTCGGGTATTCATTACTCTTTATGCACTCGCATTGACACCTTTGCGAAAGGAAAAAAACGAATCAGGAGAGCTGTGTTGTGGGGCCCACAGGTGAGTGACTCCGATTTGATGCCTCCTTTGGTTATTACCCTCACTTTTTGTTCTATGCCTTGTGGTACAAGATATTAAGCAATTCATAAGCGTGTAATTTCGTTTAGCACACGAACCAAATAACATACAAGCCAGAAAAAAAGTTAAATGTCTGCAGATGATTTTTTTTGACATCAAAATTGCAGTTGCGGCGCAGACAACGCGAAAAATTCAAGGCGGTTCCAGGCATTGGGGATGTTCTGCTTTTTCTTCAGCTTCCTCCCCCTTCCTTTCTCATTTTTTTTAATAACACACACAGAAAATGCTTTTTAAAAGCCTGAAAATTATAACGCATCAGTCACGAAAACATGAAGACAAGGAAATTTCTAAAGTATTTTTTGTTGAATTTTTTTCATTTTTCTGTTTGTTATTTCCTGTAGTGTTTCCCTTTCGCCGCTTACATGTGAAAATCTTTTTTCTCTCTGTACGCTGTTACCCCATTTTGTGCAGCTTTGTCGGCCATATTGGAGGGGAAAAGTCTGGCCAGAAAGAGAGAGGGCGCGCGAAAAAGAAAGAGAAAACAGGGAGCAAAGTGCAAAAACGCAGAGTGAGGGCGAGCTAAAAATTCGCATTTATTCCGCCGCTGTACTTAGCAACAAAATGGTTTATTAGATTGAAAAACGAGAAGCAGAAAAATACTATACTAAATACTATAAAAAAGAAATCCAATCTTTTTTTTTATTATTCCCCCTCTGGCTTCAGAATATGCAAATCAAGTTAAGTAACAGACAGCATAAATTAAAAATAAAAAAAGACTAAAAATCTAGATGCGATGGGAGATCAGATGAAATGAATCTTTGAACCGCTCGGCAACTGTCCAATAATAATGAAATATTTCCAACTTGAGCCCAACGAAGAAATAGACAAAAACACGCTTGTAAGACGGAGTGTGGTTTTTGTTGTTCGCGTTATTTATGTTCTCCCTACTAATTTCGAATTTGAATCTTTGGCTGTGACCTTTGGGGCCTTCCCGGCCATATCGATACATGTATTTGGTAGATGTGTGTATTTTTCTTAATTTTGAAAGCGTATTAAATTACGAAGCGAGGGCCCCCGTCCGCCAGGCCCAGAATTGAAACAAGAATTTCAAGTATGTTTAACCCAAAACACAGAGCACAGAAAAAAGCCGAAACAAAATCAGAATCAGAATCAGAGAACCAAAAACCGAAACCCAAGTGATGTGGAGTGGCGTGGAGTTGGTGAGGAGTTGGAGGCTCTGGGCTTAAAGTATTTCACAGGAAATCTTCGGAAACGCAACCCAACAGCAACAGCAACAATATGTTCTACACATTTCTTTCGACCCCGCTCCCTGTGTGAGAAATCGAAATCCCAAAAACTAAATCCTATAATGCCTGCGAGGGGCGCACACACATCGAAAAACCCCGACCGAACCAAACTGAACCGACCCGCACTCACGCACGGCTACATTTTGAAATATCTCATCGTGTGTGAGTGTTCGGTTTGGTATTTCATTTTCTTTATATATTTTTTTTTTGTTTTTTTCTGCCTTTTGGTTTCACATCCCCACCCAGGTTCCCAGTCCCTTTCGCCCCATCTCTCGAGAGTCACAGGGCACTGGCAACCCGAACAGAGCGTGCGCTCACTCTATAATAATGATAAGATGGCTCTTAATCACAAAATTTATATGCCCCGGCATTTAGTTGTTCCTTCTCCCCAAAGCCAAAGACCAGGAATCAAGGGATCTGGAAACTGAAAACGTAAAACTGAAAACTGAATACGAAAGACTGAGGCCCGAGCTGAGTTGAACTGAAGTGAACTGATGATGGGTTATGCGCGTTTATAATTATGGGTCCTGTCATTCCGCATCTCAAAGTCTACAATTTTCAGTTTAGTGCGGAACAGAGATGGGCAGCCTCGCGTCATTCCTCTCTTTCGGTGCCTCCATTTTGGCAAAAACCAGGCCCAGAACTCTGATCTCGGGGCGTGTCGATTTTGGGGCTGCCCCACTTTATTGGTAATAATAATTATACAATTATAAGGAGAAAGCTTACCGCTTGCACTCGTTCCGAAGTTGTCTGCAAGTAAAGATAAATAAACAAAAAATTATTTAATTATTTGTTCAGTTTCGGAACGAAAATATCAACCTGTCTTAAGCCGAAATATTTCTCAAGCTGAACCATAATAAATCTTCCCATAACCCAGCACACAAAATTTCAAACGCAACAAACGCAAAAAATTGAAAAATTTCGTGCAGACTTTTGACCGCAAAATTGTTGTTTTTTTTTTTTGGTCGGGTTTCGTTGGCTATAAAATATGAAATATATATTCACACGCAGAAGTAATAGGAGGGGTGGCAATCAATCAAAACTATGTGAAGCCTGTGGAATCAGCGCCAAGTGTTAGCCCAAAATATTTGGAGCAAATCAAATGCAGCCTCAAAGAAAACAAAAGTTGAAGCCCGTTTCGGCTCCAACATTTTATTTTATTACCCTTTTTTTTAGAGCTTGGCAATAATTTTGTTTCCCAGTTTTATTTTTGGTTTTTTCGCACGCAAATCATTTTTTTGTTAGGCGAATTGCGTTTTGTTTTCATTGTGATTTTTGAATTTTTTTACGATTTAGCTGGAGGCATTATGCAAATCTCTTTTCACGGGTTAAAACATAAACATAATATTCAATCTCTGCGAGATCTTTGCATTTGGACCAGGTCTTCATTATATAAAATTTCTTGCATCACTTAACTGAGATCCACGGATCAGAAAAACTGAACAGAAATTATATCAGAAAAAAGGAAAAAATCTTCTGTCTCATACTTGATTTTGTACCCTGCTTACTGCCTTCTTGCGCCCAACTCACTGGTGTCATTTAGTCAGTTTGTAATGACATGGCTAAGAGTATTTTGTGAACTCGGCTTTTGAGGTTGGCCAGCTCAATTGCAGCCTTGGCATCTCGCATCGCAATGGACGCGTTCCTCTTGTCATTTAAGTCATCGAACACGCATTGGTACATTGTAGACAGTGTCGGTGTCGGGTTTGTTGTCTCATTCTCCGTCTCTTTCCGCTGGACAGGCTCCTTCTCCCTCTACTCGCTGGATGTCAGTGTCCTGGAACGGCCATCACCAGACCAAGTTCCCAAGTTTCAGTCTCGCTTCAGTTCAGTTCAGTTGGGTTCGGTTCCCGAGTAGGATCCCCAGCCCCCCGAGCAGTTCATAAATAATCGTCTTAAGTTGATGGCAATGCGGTGACTGTCGACGATTGCTGGGTGGCACTCGCTGCAGTTGATGGCGCACAGAGAGAAATAATTGGACCGAAAAATTTGCCACTAATTTTGTATTTTATAATTCCAAAAAATTTAACTTTCTCAAAGTAGCATTTAAAATATATCACAATAATTTATTTACTTCATAATTCTATTGAGGAAACAATATAAATAGCGACCAGTTCAGAATACTTGTTTTTTGCAGAAATATGTAAAAGCTTAAAGAATTTTTCTTAGCGCAGCTTTTCGGCTTGGCTTTCTGGATTTAAGTCCGAGTGCTTAACATTGCAGTTCGAAAATGAAAAGGCTCGAGAATTTATCTGCGCTGCTGCAGAAAGAAAGCAAAGGCGGCTGGGAATCGTTCAGATATTCCGAAAACGTTTCAATGAATGTCAGCAACGCATTGCTTCAATTTTTTTTCAGCTCTGTTTTTTTGTTACCCGCCAATACAAACTTGTGTCGTGTCTGATCCCATTTTAATATTCTAGATACTTAAATAAAATACGTGTCTGGCCTGGCCAACAAACGTTTATTGTTTGTTAATTGATTTCGCAGCCAAAGTTCTGGTTAAAATGCAAAGTGCAGCTTTTCAGACGGCGGAGACGAAAACAAAACGAAGACAAAACTTTGCACACAGGTTGGCTGGCATTTGGTATGCAAAATTTGTTTGCCTTTCGGCCCGGCCAAGATCGCTGCTGCTCCTCTTCTTCCCGAGCCTCTCTTTTTCACTTCTTCTCGACTTTTGGGCGCAATTAATTTGCAGACGGCGAATCAGCCTTGAGGCTTTAAGCAGTTGACAATTGTCAAGGATTGCGACAACTTGGCGGCAGAACGCAGCGTTGTTCGTCTCGTTGTTTGTTGTTTGTTGTCCGTTGTCTCTCGCATGGTTGTTGTTTTCCACTTGGGACCTGACATCTGACAGTCGCTGAAGACTTTGTCTCTATGCCTCGGACTTGGGTTATTTAACGGTAATTACCAAAATGCTGGCCGCACAAAAAGCTTTCCGCGAACGTTGGCTGGAAAACGCTTTGGTCTTTTCTTGTTTTGTTTTTAGTTTTAGCCGACTTTCCGAATAGCTGGCTGAAAGAGCAGCTCAAGTGCCGACAAAGCCAAAGCGGCCAAGTGAAGCATAAAAATGAAGCACCCAAAACGAAGAAAAACCTCAAAAACGGCAGAGCCACAAATAAAAGTAGAAGTCGGTGTGCACTGGAAACATTAAAGGTGTAAATGAGCTCTTAACCAAATTAAGAATAGCTTCCAAAATATTTATCTCTCTGAAAAATGTTGGGACTAAAATATTTTATAGGAACATCTACTGTCTTTGGAGCAAACTACTTTTTCTTGATTTCTGAAGCACAACGTAGGGCGCCAATTTTTTGCCTTGTATTAAAGTAAATAGTTCCCTAACAACTTTCTTTTACAATATCTTCAAATTCATAAATTACACTATATTTTTGCCATTGATCCCTGATTTTGTTGTTTTGAGTGTAGGAACCCAGGCACACGATTTTCCATTTGGCCAGAGCCGAGCTACGCGAGACTCTCGAGCGCGACTCACAGTCTATTTATGTGACTATTGAAGTGGGCTTTCTGTACACTTTCCGGGGCCTCCTCTTCAGTGGAGTCGGAATTGGAGTCGGAGTCCATGCTCCGCACTCCATAATACTCCAGACCTGAAGAGACTGCGGCGGCTCGGGCTTTGATTTTTGCTTGATTTCTTTCAAAATCGGCTGCAGCAAAATAGAGATGCAGAGCAGGGCACCTCCGGACCCGAGAATCTCGGGCCTCCGAAGAAGAGATGAGGATGAGACTCGAGTGGTGGAGTGGTGGAGTCTGCTTTTATTTTATATGTATTTTTTATTTTTCATTTTTGCTTTTTGTGTTGCATGTGCAGTGACTGTGACGCCATTTTCAGTCGAAGCGTATGCAAAAGAGGGAGAGAAGCCAGAAGACTGAGGTTGGAGAACATGTCCAAAGGCAAACCGCCAAAAGGATAATCAGCAACAATTTAGTATTATTACACCACGTTTCGAAGCCATCGGAAAAGGGTTGGGGAAAAGGGGCGGTTCGGGACGGGACGGGACGGGGCAAAAGGTGGAGCACACAAAGTTGTCTGTCAGAGGCTCTGGGGGCCCTCTTTTAAGCCTGGCTGAGCTCTCGAGTATGCATTTCAAAGAAAATCATTATTATCGATGCGGCAAGAGGATGAAAAAGAGTCTGTGGAGGCCGAGGGCCGCGGGTCTTGCCTTTCGGTATTTTCACGTAGTTCGTAGATTGAGTTTCAATGGAAAAATGATTTGCAAATTGACTTTAACGAATTGCCAGCCAGAACGGGCAGGTTGGCTTTTGGGCATGTTATGGAATTTTGATTACAGCATTTGCTATTAGAAGAAAGCTGCGGCCGCATGTAATTGGCACGCATTTTGGACTCCGCTATTGGGGTCCATGGACCTCTGGGGCACTCTGCCATTGAGAAGACAATCGAAGGCGTTCGCCGGAGCCATGTCGATGCCATTTTGATGGTCGTTTCATTGGCATTGGTATTGGCCAGGCTGAAACTCTGGCTGAGACTGAGAAACTCAAGATACTGGGGCCGCAGGCGGGACGTCTGATCTGATCCATGGCCGCCGATCAGGCGCACTCTTAAAATGAGCTCACTGGAAGAAAACTTTTTTCATTTTACCAAAATTCTGCTTCTCAAAAACCTTAAAAAAGCGTTTTAAATAAATAGGTACTAAAATAAAAAGGAATCCAAATAAAAAAAAAGTTCATTTAATAAACATAAAATTGTAAGTTTACTTTGGCCTATTTTTGGCATACCCCAAGTCTAACGTAATTTTAATACAAAATTAAAACAAAAACCAATTGTTTTTCGTTAGATTTAGAGTGGCTCCTTTTCTCTCCGTGTTGGATTGAAACTTCGACTGCGAATCCACTGCGGAGGAGCCTTTGCCCGTTGGGCGATGCCAGTTCGTATATCATTATAGAAATTACCTACTCTCGGCAGCAGCCATTGTTAGTATTTTGCCATTAACGTTAACTCTCTGGCACAATCTGAGTCGCTTGATCTCTCGCTTTTGCAGCAGCAGAAGCAGCCTTCTCATCGATGGGGCAACAGAAATTAAAAGCAGCCAACCAACAACCGGCCAACAACCGAGCAACAACCAGCCAACAACCAACCGGCAAGAGGCCACAAAAAACTGTCAGGCGGAAAGGCAAAGGCCGGGCAAAAAATTGATGTTGTAAATTATTGAAATCTAATGGAAACGTTGACGTCAGTTGGTCTCGTGATGATAGCTCAAGACCGCTGATAAGCCGCCCTATCGGTTGGCCAGACAGATAATTGTGGAATGGAATAGGATTTTGAGTAAGTGGAGCCAACGAGATTACTTACCAGGACTACCGAGGAAGACTGAGGAATACAATCGCCGGGAGGCGTCCGCATTGCGAGCATCGGCAGGTGAGGACCATTCTCTTCGACACCATCGTCCTGAAAAAGATAGAAAAGCCGATCGTTAGAAATCTATTAAAAATCGGACTGTAAGCCTATGTACTATAAACTATGTCTCGTGTGTGATTGTAATGAAAAATGGGAGTGAAAACCATTTAGTTTAAAGTTACTCCCTATAACCTAAGCCTTAAACTATAACTCATTTTAATCATCAGCTTTAATAAAAGTACCTATAAAGCGAAAGACAAATTGCTTAAATCAACGAAAAACTTTTTAAGACCCTCAGTAAGTTATTGCTCGACTACTTAGTTATCAGGACGGGAAAACCACGTATAATTATTAATTCAATTTTCCACGTTCCTAAGCCTTTCGGCAAACGAACTAAAACTCATTTCCAGTTAAGGCATCCGCAGAAGTATTAAGATCTTGAGCCACTCTAAGCCACCGACTGACTGACACAATTCGCAACACTTGTCAACTTAATGCTTTTCAACCGATATTGACAGCACGCTGAATATGTTAAGCCAACGCATATATCTCTTGATATTTGTAGAAGGTTTGCAGATAGTTGGCTATGGGCTTTCGTCAAAATACGGTGAGTGACAGGTGCGTCCCCACCTGAAATTCCCAATAATCTCGGTATCTCTGAACGAAAAGGTCGTTTGCGAGGAAACCCTCAAAAAAATGGCCCACAAAATATAAACATTAGAACCTCAATGGACACTTTAAGCTTATAAAACTTTAAATGAAATACGTAGTGTAAGAAAAAGCAGGGCCAACGCAGAATGAAAATGGCGCTAATAATAATTTGGTTTATTGGCTTTAAAGCACAATGAAGGCGAGAGAAAAAAAAGCGCAGGGGGCGGCAAGTGGAGAGGCGTGCCCAGCGGAAGAGGAACAACAACAGCAACCCTCGGCCAATCTCCCGGGCAATTTCTATTATTTTTTTAAGCACTTTCTTGAGCTCAACGACGGGGGCAGACAACCAACGCACCTTTATTTAAATTTTCTTTTTTTTCCTCGCTGCCTTCCTTCTATTCTGGTCAGAAGACGAGGAGAAGTTGGGGGCCAGACTACGCTTCGTTTTCTTCTTAATGGGCAATTTTCTTGGTAGTAAATGGGCACGTTTTATGAACGCTTTTGTGGGGTGTTTATGGGGTGGTGCTGATGCCCAACCTTACACCCACCCACCCTACATGAGCCACCCCACCACTGCCACGCCCCCATTGGGCAAACGAATGCAGGTCTCTTTTGTTTTTCGAAAAGGAATATTAAATTGCCACTGAAACTGCACCTGTCCAATTAAAATGTAACATAATATGGTCGAATATAAATTCGGAAAAAAACAAACAGTAGAATAATATCTCTTTAATTGGTCATCAATTCAATGGTTTTTGCCTCGCGAATAAATATTATTTGGAAAGTTGATACCACTTTTGCCTATTTTCAATCGATTTGACTACTCAGTAATTAATCTTAATTATTTAACCTTACGAAGAACCTTTTATTCTAGGTAGGACAAGTTCTTTCAAATTTCAAAATATGTTAGTGAGCAACTACATGTTGATTAATATTTAGTTTAACATTTTTATAAAATATAAAATAAACGTCTGTGTGCATGTAATATTGTGTTCAGCATTTATATACAGATTAAAAATAGTTTTTATCCAAAAACTAAAATTTAAGGCCAATAAACATACGCTAACAATAACAGAAAAATTAAAATTTTTAAATACAAATTTTATTATGACATATTCTTAGCCAAAACCATATTTTTTACAAAATCTTTTTAATTAAAAAGTAATTTAAAAAATGTTAAGTTTCACAACGGATAAATTTAAACAAAAATTTTGTATTTTTCAATGCAGCCAACAAAAGTCAATAATTAAATTAATAGAGATTTCTAGCAGGCAACAACACAAACAGAAGCTACAGTGAGTAGCCGAAAAAAAATTGTTCACACATAAATCTTTGCACTAAAAAATTTTATTGTCGTTTTTATTGTAAGGAAATAAAATAAAAAGCCGAAGCAAAACAAAACACAACAAAAACACAAAGAGACAGAGCCAAACAGTCTGCTAAAATCGCTCTCTCAAACAAGCACACACATAATAGCGCTCTCTCGCTCTTGTGATGGCCGCGTATATTTCCCCTGACAGATTATCGTACCGTAAGTTAGCTGCTTAAATATCGTAAGAAGGCTGCGCCATTTGCCTCGCAGCTGCTCTGTTCTCTCTTACTGCGCCAGAGCGAGACAAAGCTAGTGAAGACATTCAAGTGCGGCGAATGAGGCGAATTGAGTTGTTTTTGCTTTTTTTCTACTCTTTTTTTTGTGCCAAGTAAATGATTTTCGATTTTTGTGACTTGACTAATTCGATTTTTGGAGTCCGTCCCTCTGCTCTTTTTTTCTATTAACTTATGCAATGTTAAATCAATAAACCGAACCTAGGCGAATTCGCTACGCTTTAACAGGAAAAAAACCTGAAAACAAAAATAATTTTAAACCAAAATGCTTTTTAAGATTTCTTTGTTTATGGGGTCTTTAAATGTCACAACTCTCGATTCTGAGAATGTGCTAAAACATTTATGGTGCGCTTGTCTTAATATGTATTTTAAATTACATATATTGTCGTTCTCCGTTCAACTTGGTTCAAAAATGTATTTCAAATGATCTTGCTGGCTTGTGGTTGTTCCAATTTAGTGCCTGGGTTTTTTTTTTGCTTATTGCTTAAATAATTCAAATTGTTTTTAAACAAAATTTAGGATTGCAGTAATCCTTTCTGTGTATTTTTCCGAAATAACATTTTATTTCAAAGTCTTTAAATTTCTTCTGCTGCTTATTATTTTTAGTTTGTTAGAATTTGTCCGTGCCAAAATTCTATTAAATGTTCTTTAAAATTTCTAAGCTTGTATAAGGGTTTTTATTTTCTTGACTATACATTTATTTTTAATTTTCTTTACTTCTTTTCTTGATTTGATTTTTGGCCTTTTGTCAGTAAAACGCAACGAAAGATGTTCTATTTTTAGTGGAACTATTTTGGTGGCGACCCCAATCGCTTTTCCGCTTCTAGCTAAGTGTATTCTTCTCCCCACTTTCTGCCCCGATTTTCCCCGAAGTTCGTGAAGTGCCCATGGGCCTGATAAATGGCGCTTAGGCATTGATTAGATGCCCCAGAGCTTCGAAATGCATTTGCCTTATCACCCATGCACTCCTCACACACACTGGCACACATTATAACTAACACCCATTATACCTCCACCCCCCACCCCCCACCACCCACGGTCGAAAGTATTCCCCGCCTGCCCAGAAAGCCGAAAAAAGAAAAACAACAGACGCAACGAAACGAATTTTCCATTTTCCATAGAGTTCACTTCACCCCAATGCCAAAGTATCTTCAATTCGGTTCAGTGCAGTGAAAAAAAGTATAGAGTTGTACATTTTTTTACCTAAAGTTTAAAATACCTCAGTTACTTAAATAAATATACAACGTTTGCTCAAACTTAATATATTATCTAGATACTTTAGTGGTTAGAATTAACACAATGGTATAACAACCAAAGAATATTTTAGTGATATTGATATTATATAGAAACTTCAAAAATTAGTTAATCTAAAATTGAAGTTAAACCGTATTTAATAACACGGGTAAAGTTCCACAAAATGTTTTAAGGTAATTTTATTTATGGCAAGCTTTAATAAGCCTAGCGATTTAAAAGATTTTAAAGTGGTGCACAAAGTAATTAACAGTGCTAGCCGATGAATTAATAAGTGTGTATTTTGTAATATTTAAATAGTTAAGTAACTGTTGCGCCATTTAATATATTCTTAAAAATTTGTTCTCTGTGTACTTGTGTCTGTCGCATTTTGTCTGTGTGCGAGTCAATGTCTGTGTGTCTGTGTTTAGATAAAATTGTGTTTCGAAAGTGACAGTTGAAATGATTTATCACTTGCCAGCGACTGCAAGGCGCAAACGCCAACGCTGCCCCGCCCCCTCGGTCGCACCGCCCCCTCACCCCCTCCACCATTCACAGTGCTTGGCTGTCGTCAAAGTTTTTAGCACAAGCTCCCTTTAGCCCCCTTTCTCCTCTCTCTTTCTCAGCCCCGGCATGTTTGGCATTTTTGTGTAGAAAAATTGAAAATTGCTTTTTTCGTCAGCAGCCCCCTTTCGTCGCCCCACCTCCTCCCCTTTGTCCTGCTATCTCAGGCAACTTCATCTTTCCAATTTTCTACTATTTGGCTTTGTTCCCCTTCCTATGTTGTTGTTGTTATCTCTGAGTTTTTCATATGAAAATTTAATTCCGCTCAACCCCTCACCACCATCCACTTTCGCCCCCCACACACCTACCCCCTCAGCCATTTCCCATGCGAGCTAATTTAAAAATTTTTGTAATTTTTTCGCTTTGCTCTTTTGGAATTTTTGCAATGCGCGACAAAATGATTTATGTCGCTGCCTGGGCGAAATTAAAAATATTACAAAAAGCCACAACAGCAACAACAATGTGAACACATTTAAATAACATAAAAAAAATAAATACGTATCTGTACATTTGTATATGGTGTCACTTTAAAACGAAATTGTTGCCGTGTGGAAATTTACGCTGGCTTTTCTCAATTTTTATGCCCAACAATTTCAAGCGACTGCAGCAGTGGCGGCAGAAAAAATTTAAAATAAAATACATAAACCGCAACAATTTTTCAACATTTTGCACGTGTAAATTTTCCAATTGGTTGAACGCGCCAAATGAACGAAGGGAAAAAGTTGCAAAAATGGGTAGGAAATCGAGGGGGCGAAAATGTGTGGGCGGCCAAAGCCGGGTGGTTCGAGGGGCGTGACTCTCATATTAAAGGTCTTTCTGATGGATTCATTTAGTCAATTCTAAGGGCAGGCGAGCAAGTTTTGCCTTTGCATACAAAAATAATGGCAGAAAATTATGGCTGAATATGGAATTTGAATAGCGTATGGGAAACCCTTTGGGGTGGCCCTGAAAACTGGAAAACAAGTTAGGAAAACAGGTATTCTATCTGTCTCAGTCTTTCC